GGCATACAAGCATGGCGGCCATGGCTAGTAAAGGACCAAGCATGCCTCGAACGGGTACAACTGCGTGCAACAAAGCTGGTAAACGGTCTAAAAGCCAATCCTACACAGACAGACTGAATTGCCTCAATTTATTCCCTCTGTGCTACAGACAACAAAGAGGTGATCTTATTCTCGTCTACAAGATAATACATGGCCTTGAGCATGGACTTAAATTTGAGGACATGCTTCAGTGGCACCTTTCACCCAATCTTCGTGGTCACTCGATGAAGTTACGGACAACAATGTCCAGGCTGAATCTTCGTTCTGAATTTTTCGCGCAGACGGTAGTAGAGAGATGGAACGATCTCCCTCAGTCAGTCGTGGAGGCTACGTCTCTGCAACTCTTCAAGAAACACTTGGCTGATTAGTTGTGTCCCCCGTTTTCTCTCGACGGTCTGGATCTGAACTAATAACCCACGTCCCCGGAAATATTTTCTCTGAGACAATGCGACTCAAATGAATTAAGTACTGTTTTAATAGCGAATATTTTTATTGTTCGTGTACAGTTATTTCTAACGAGCTGACATATAATCAATAGGGTTTTCAAAGGCTTTGCCTATTGTCCTTACCAAATAAAATGAAACTGAAAAAAAAAATAAAAGTTATGCTGGTTATCTAGCCTTACTTATTGTCTTTTTTCAGAATTCTACACCTCTGCATTGCCATTATGTCCGGACCTAAAAAAATAATTCCGGGGATTTTAAGATTTTTATTTAATTCAGGATTAATAAATAGTGGCCCAGCTTCGTTCCCTGTAAAAGGACTGCATTTTTTACTTCTTCAGTTGTCCTCTGATGACGCCATGTGGAGCATGAGGTAACGCAGGTAAATAAAGAATAGAATAGGTTTGTTATGGTACGTCTTCGGCATTGTCATTGCCCTTTGAACACAGGAAAGAAACTTAAACCAAATTCATCCATTTCAGCGGCATCTTGTATTCATTGATTGAGTGTTGGCTTAGTCAGTAGAGAGCGAAATGGGAGTTTGTTTTAAGTTTAAAAACCTGAGTTCAAAGGCAAAATAAGGGCAAAGGTTGGAAAAATAACGGTATACACAGTATAGAGATTGAAGTTGAGTTTTGATTAATGGTGTTGGTTTAGTAGTCTGAGGCATAGTGCGAATAATGAGGTTAACCATGCATTTTGATCTTTCGGAAAATTCTCACTACATCAAATGTATGATCGAGCCTGTTTGCGGAACGTTTGTTGGCTGCTAGGAAACTCAATTAAGTAAAATCGCTATTTCCGAATAGAAAATGAATATTTAGATTCCTCGGTGACCATAGCCCTTATAGTGTCTTTTAGTAACAATGAAAAGGGGACTTTGTTCTGCTCGATCTCAGCAGAATCAGCAAAAAATGCGAGAGCATAACAGGTCAGCTCAAACACTGAGTGTAAGATATAGCTGGACACTGCAACCAAATTAAACTGAAGAGAAATGGGAAGTTAAATCTCTCTGTCCAGAGCATTATGAATATTGGTTTATCACTTCTGTCCTTGACTGATATCCACGCCCTAGTAGTCGACTCACCTTGCTTCTTGTCGTCTGTAACTTTTGGTTTGATGTCGTCGGTGTATACATTCCATCTTAACCATTAATTTTTTAGTATTCTTTTTTCTCTAAATATCAGATGCCTGCAGAGCAAAAAGATTTGTTTGATGCAATCGCAGTTTAGCCGGTTCATTCGGTCTGTTTGACGTAGTGAGGATGGTGAGTGGGTGCCACGTAGAGTCGCTTACAACTACTCCATAGTTCTGTTATCTTTCTCTCCTCCTGCCGTATTTTCTTTTTCAGACAAATCAATCCGGTGGTAGCAAAGCTTCACCAAGTTCCGGTCCGGCTGCTAGAGGCGGTGGCACAAGGCAGCGCAAAGTACGTTTTACTCTTCGTTCAGGATTACTCTATTTTCATCAAAAAGTTTCGTCTATTTAGAATATCATGGTCGGCCTTCAGTTACCACTTCTTTAGCGTCCAAAACTAATTATACCTTGCCTGCTCTTTAGTTGCAACGGCCCCTAAGTAGCCGTCAATGTCTGTGTAGTGCTCTTAATGTATCTTACGTGTTTTTTGACATTTCGTCGTACGAAATTAGCCATAAGTCGTTCAGCACATACCGATTTTGGGTAGTATCCATTTAACAGTGAAAGAGGGACACGCATCGATCGTGTTACGAATCTTGCTCGTCCCGATGCGCCTTGGAGCTCCCTCACGAGTCCACCTAGCAGAAAAACAACGCTGCGTAATATAAACAGGGCTCGTGAAAACCCTAAGGCACAGTGGGACGAGTGAGTTCCGTAACATGGTCGGTGCGCGCCTCTACTATTGTAAATATACCCGATCGCAACCGTCGGGACGGGCCTGTGGCTGAGTAGTTAGTGCCTTGAACTTCTAATCGACAGATCGCGGATTCGAGCGTCGGGAGTTGCATGCGTTGGAGTCGGACATGAATCAGTGATGACGATGAACAATGCAGAAATGATTATTCCACTTCCCTTTGTTCTTCCGGCAACGCATTTCGCGCAAAATCCTTTTGTAGGTCTTTTATCCAGACTTAATTGTCGCAAACCGTGGCAACTACATGAAACCCAATGGATTACTGTTTCTGAATCGAATTCTACGTTAACGACCCCTCGAACTCGCACTTAAGTTCTTTGTCACCGTTAAGTGAGCGCGTACAGCCCGATTTAGGTCCAATCGCATGTCCTTGTGTGCCCCTCAGTCGCGCAGCTAATTGTTCTCGTAGCGCTTGACAAGCGGGTAGCAGCTCGGTAAGCCTGTTTTCTTTATCATCAGCCACGCCTCCTGTAGTTAACATGCATTCCAATTGGCGGAAAGTCGTCATGCCGTCGAAGGCTAACTAGTCGCATGTAGATGGAGAATGGACGGACAAGCGTAGGGCCAGTCTCTTTGGTCATTTAGAGGCACCGTTAAGTGACTTCGTCAAGAAACCAGGTGCTTAACCATTGTTCATTGGTCGTAGTCCCGTTTTGCGAATTCTTTTGCAGTCTGTGTACTCGCAGGCCTCGGGAGGGAAGTGTGTCTCGTTTATGATGAATGACCTTTAGCTTCCCAACTACATTTTGTAGGTCTTTTGCATGTTTCCAGAATCTCGTGCTAACGTTTTATCACACCCATTAGAAACCTCTGTTCTTAATGGTTGGACCAAGCTTTATGAGCTCGGCCCTGTACTATCATTGTTGCCGACCTCTTGTATTTTCTCGGTCATACCGCAACACTTTTTGCGTGTTGGTTGTTGGCCGCCTCGCAGTGTACAGGTAGGAAATTAGTCCTCGTGACTTAAAGTCCAAATTTGCCGCCTCTACATTTTATTTTTCACTAAGCACATCAACATGATTATTTTTGTCTAGTCGACGGGCACAACATCTCGCAGGCCACTGACCGTCTCAACTCCCAAAAGCCCAGTCTTCCTTTTCTACTCCGAGGATTCTCCCGGCATCAAAGTCGGCCCTGTTCCCGTCCTGGTTATGAGTCTTTGCTTTATTGTGTCTGTGTTTTTGCTCCATTTTTGGGGCCGGTATACCAAGAGCGCTTGATTTACTTTGACCGAAACATTTGTAAGAAGTTGTCCATCCTTTTGTCTTTTGCCACTTTCTTTGCTGGGACGTCTCGCCAGACATGGCCCACGAGTAGACATGTGGCTGATTTTCAGGACTCTGGAGTTGGTTCCGTCGCGCGACCTCGGACTTACTTGTATATCATCAACCGTTGGTTTACTTAAAGTCCGCATCCTACCGAAACTTGTTTCAGGCATGCTGGAGCCATGACCTCCACACCGAAAACCCGTTAGTCTGACTTTACCGAATCTCAAGACTCCAGACCCTAACCGCGTGAAAATTCATTAAAGACAAAAGACAGTGGGCGCCTTCACAAAATGCACAAGGCAACTTTGACGACTTAGGCCGAGGTTTAACCGCATCTTAGAATTCGATTAACATCTGTTTAAGGGCATCCATGCTCACTGTCTGGCCACTGCAGACTGGGAATGAGAAAATTTGTTTATTCAGTCACTAATTTATGGGTTCGATGTCAGATATCTGCCAAAACTATCCCTTCCCCGGTTTCGTTTTGGCAGATAAAGTAGCGAGACCATTCTATAATCCAGAATGGACAGGGAGCCGGTAGGTTTTTCTGACCAGTAGTATTCAGGAACGCCATTGGGTCGTGCTTCTGATTGCCAGTCAGCGGTCGGCGCCGAAGAGGGAGTCAATTCAAAACCTGGCTCAGCACAGTTCATTAAGTCACGAATTTTGTCTTTGAACCT